GGTTTCTATTTCATTGATTTCTGCTCTAATCTTTATTCTTTTCTCCTGATGCATTTCGACTTTGTTTGCTGTATATTTGAGACCTTTCTTGTTTCCTGAGAAAGGCTTGTATTGCTGTATACTTCCCTCTTAGGACCACCTTTGCTATATCCTAAAGTTGTGTTTCCATTAATTTTTTAAAATTCTTCTTTAATTTCTTGGTTGACCCATTCAACCAAGTAGATGCTTTTTAACCTCCACATATTTGATTTCCTTCCAAATTTCCTCTTGTCATTGAGTTCAAGTTTCAAAGCATTGTAGTCTAAAAATATGCAGGGAATAATACCAGTCTTTTGGTTCTGGTTGAGACTTGATTTGTGACCCAGTATGTGATCTCTTGTGGAGAATGTTCCATGTGCACTCGAGAAGAATGTGTATTCTGTTACTTTGGGATGGAATGTTCTGAATATATCTGTGAAGTCCCTCTGGTCCAGTGTGTCATTCAAAGCCCTTGTTTCCTTGTTGATATTCTGCTTATATGATGTGCCCATTGGTGAGTGGGGTATTAAAGTCCCCTACTATCACTGTATTATTATCAATGTGTTTCTTTAATTTTGTTACTAATTTGTTTGTATAATTGGCTGCTCCCATGTTAGGGGCATATATATGTGCAATTATTAGCTCTTCTTGTTGGATAGACCTTTTAATTATTGTGTAGTGTCTATTCTCATTTCCTATTACCTTCCTTGGTTTAAAATCTAATTTGTCTGTTATAAGGATTCCTATCCCAGCTTTCTTTTGATGTCTTTTAGTGTGATAAATGGTTTTCTGCCCTCTCACTTTCCATCTGGAGCTATCTTTGGGTCTAAATTGAGTCTTTTATAGATAGCATATCAATGGGTCTTGCTTTTTTATCCAATCTGATACCCTGTGTCTTTTGTTTGGGGCATTTAGCTCATTTACATTCAGAGTAACTATTGACAAATATGAATTTAGTGCCTTTGTATTATATAAGTGAAGTCATTCTTTCTGTATATTGTCTCTGTTCTTTTCTGGTTTGTAACTTTTGGATTTTCTCTTCACTTAAAGGATCCCCTTTAAAATTTCTTGTAGGGCTGGTTTAGTGATCACAAATTCTTTTCGTTTCTGTTTGTCCTGGAAGCTCTTTATCTTTCCTTCTATTCTGAATAATAACCTTACTGGATACAGTATTCTTGGCTGCATATTTTTCTCATTTACCACCCTGAATATATCATGACAGTCCTTTCTGGCCTGCCAGGCCTCTGTGGATAGGTCTGCCACTAGGCTTATGTTTCTACCATTGTAGGGTAAGGACCTCTTGTCTGGAGCTGCTTTCGGGGTTTTCTCTTTGTCTCTGAGACTTGTAAGTTTTACTATTAGATGATGGGGTGTTAACCTGTTTTTATTGATTTTTACAGGGGGGGCTTCTCTGTTCCTCCTGGATTTTGATGCCTGTTTCCTTCCCCAAATTAGAAAAGTTCTCTGCATAATTTACTCCTAGATACTTTCTGCCCGCCCCCCCCTTCTCCTTCTGGGAACCCAATTATTCTAATATTGTTTTGCTTCATAGTATCTCTTCACTCTCGAATTCTCCCCTTGTGATCCAGTAGTTGTTTATCTCTCTTTTTCTTGGTTTCTTTATTCTCCATCATTTTGTTTTCTGTATCACACATTCTCTCTTCTGCCTCATTTATCCTAGCAGTTAGAGCCTCCATTTTTTATTGCATCTTATTAATAGTATCATTAGTATCTTTATAATAATTTTTCTGAGCTCTGATTCTTATATCTTACTTACATCCATATTAATTGGGTCCCTGGCAGTCAGTACTGCTTCTTGTTCTCTTTTTTGGGGTGAGTTTTTCCATCTTGGCATTCTGTCCAGAGAAGCATAGATGAACAAGAGAACAAAATACTAAAATAGTCACAATGACCCCAGAGAAATATACACTGAACAAATCAGAGGAGACCAGAAATGGAAAAGAAAAAAGAGAGAGGGAGTGAATATAATCAGACAAGTAAACAGAACAGAGCAATACACTAGATCCCAGGTGTACTTTGGTCTGTTTGTTAGAAGAAACTAGATCTCAAAATTGTAAAGAGAGAAAAACATATACATACAAAAATAAAATTAAATACAATGAAAGGATAGAATGTAACTATAAAAATGAATATTTAAAGACTTAAAAAAAGAGTTGATAAAATAAGAAATAAGTTGAAATGGAAGAAAGGGGAAAAATTAAAATTGAAAGACTAAAGCATTGTGAGAAAAAAACTCATGAATTCTGTATACTCTTTTCCCTTAGCACTGGAGTTTGACAGTTGTCATTGATGGGTAAACTTGGTCTTAGCTGGATGTTCTTATTGATCTTCTCCGGGAGGGGCCTGTTGTTCTGATTCTCGGGTGTCTCTGCCCGGGGCAGAAGTGCATCAAGGGGTCAGGCTAAGTAACCCGGTCCACATTGCTCTGTGTGGCTTTTGTTCCCTAAAGGCTTTCGGCACTGCTTTAGAGGACGAGAATGAAAATGGCAGTCTCCCAATCTCCGGCCCTTGGAGCCAAAAGCTCACTGCCCTCACTCCTCAGTGCACCCATCCTCAAGGAAAAGCAATCATTACTCCTGTCTCCCTGGTGTCCATCTACTCTCTCTGTTCACCCAGCCTGTGACCGAGCATTTTTATCTAGGCATGTGACCCCGCTTCAAGTCTCCAGAGCCTGTAGACTCCTGTGGCATGCACCCGTGCTTCCTCCTGGGGGAGAAAGGGAGTTCTTGCCTTGGTTCTGAGGCTTGCAGGGTCCCTGATCAGAGAGCAGTTGCCCGACCTTGCCGGTTTGCAGTTTATGGCAACCCCAAGCTGAAAGCCCACGCCGGGGCTCACTGATTGCAGCTGGGTTCCCCATTCTGATACTTGGGAACTCTGCACCACTCAGGTATGCCCAGTCTGCTTGTGACCTCAGGGATCCTGAGACCATGCTGTCCCACCTAGGATTCTGCCCCACTTACTGCCTGAGCACCTTTCAGGCAGGGACGTTCCCCACCAGAACAGACTTCTAAAAGTTTCCATTTTGTGCTCCACTGCTTATTACTCTTCAGTATCCAGCTGATGGAGGCTCCCTCCCCCTGCAGTTTATCTTCCAATATATCACTCAGATTCACTTCTCCGAACCTCCTACCGTGCAGAAAGTGGTCACTTTTCTATTTGTAGTATTATAGCAGTTCTTTTTTTAGATCTCCAGTCAAGTTCACGGTGTTCAGAATGGTTTGATAGCTAGCTAGCTGAATTCCAGGGACTAGACAAAACTAGCGTCCCCTACTCTCTGCCATCTTCCTTCCTCTCTCCCAAAACTTCTTTTCCTAAAAGAAAGCTGTGTACTATTTATTTATTTATTTATTTATTTTGCTGAATAAAGCATGAAGATCCAGCATAAATTCGTTATCTTCTTATACCTCATCTGGCTTATATGTGAATTACAGATTTAATTATATCTACCATTACTTTCAATTTCCCTATCTAGCATTAAATTCTCATAATAAAATAGTTGAAAAGCAGAATTGCTGAGTCTGGAGAATGTTTAAGGGATCTGGCTTATATTGTCCCTTTGTGGTATTGTGGTTTTCTCTCCTAGTATGCTTTGTTATAAAAGGAAGAACGTATATATATATTTACTTTGAAGGGGATATATAATTTATAGAAATTCAGATCCCTTTTCTCTTTCCAGATATTAACATAAAAATTTAGGCTCCTTTTAGTGTAGGGTTACTTAGAGCATACTCCCCACATCCTCCCTGATTATATGCATTCTTTTATTAAAAAATATTTATTGAATATTTACTCTATGCCAGACACTGAGATAGGCACTAGGAATATAAAGATGATTAAGACATGTATTTGTAGTAGAAACTTGTAAGCAACTTAAACATCTGTCAGGAGGGTACTGGTTAAATAAAGTACAGCACATTCAATAGTAGACTATTACTTAGCTGCTAAAAATAATGAAGTTCATTTTATACTGATATGGTACGATCTCAAAGCTTTGTTCAGGGACAAAATATAGGGGAATGTCTATAATATATGACCACCTGCATAACAAAAAATATGTATACATCTGTGTACACACACACACACATACACACACCCCTGTTGGACTAGGTTGTGGAAAAATTCAGGAGAAACTATAACAAGGGCTTAGGAAAAAATTGGATGCCTGGAGGACAAGGGTAGAGGAGGGAAACTTATTTCTCATTGTATACTTTTCTGAGCCTTCTGTATTTGAACTATATTCATTAACTCCCTATTCAAAAATAACAAATTTTAGAAGAAAAAGGTAGTCCCACCCTCAGAAACCTTAGTGTATAGGACAGACAGATATATAAGAAATAATATAATAATAAATATAATATATATTGTGCATTACAGTAAAATATGTACCTGAAAGAAGGGAGAGGTCATTTTTCTCTAGAGCAGCAATGGATGGGAGATCAGGGAGTGCTTCATGGAGGAGGTTACTTGAGGAGTAGTAACAGATTAAGGGTTGACTGGTTTTTCCCTGATACTCTGAGGAGGAACAGCAGCAACACAGTTATAGATAGAAGATATAACCATCTCCTGGAACCTGTTAAACTTGTTTACTACTACAGAACCCAATGCTAATTCTTGGTATATCTGCCAGCTCCAATTCACCAGCACTTGAACTATATATACATTTCTGACCTTTCCTTCCTCCTTCAATCTCTTCCTCCCTCCCTCTCTCTCCTGGTCTACTCCTTTCCCTCTTTTCTCCTCTCCCTCTCTCCCTCTTTCTCTCTTTTTTGTAGTAAGAGAAGGGTATGTATATCAACAAGTTATGATTCAGTAACAATTACATTAATTTTTTTATTTGACAAAGTTGTAAGTAAATCCACACTGAAAGAAATACCAGGTGTTACTTAGAATTGTGTGCTAACTCACATGTCCAGTAATATATCTATTGTCTGGGCATGCTCACATGAACGGTCTTCCCGTAGGTGGCAGAGTTACTTCTTTTGAATGGAGCCAATCCGTTACTTAGAAGTGACAGTGGAAAATGTGCTGTGGATGAGGCCAAAGATTCATGTATGAAGCGTCTCCTTGAGAAATATATTCCTAAACACCAAAAACATCTCCTTACATCAGGTAAGATTAAACTGTTCTGTTTATCATATTCATAGAGAGTTACAGAAATTGAATTTAGAATTATAGAAAGTAAGTTCCGTTTCCTTCTTAGTTTTGAGAAAGTCCAACCAGTGGTGTCCTTGCTCCATTCCTTTAATGAAGCACACTGACTTGTTTGCAAGTACACATAATGGAAGGATTCTAAAAGAACAAAGAGAGATCATATCAAATGTACTTTTTCCCTAGTTGTGCATTGCAAACAGTTAAGAAAACTTCTATAAAGTTTTTTTTTTTTCCCCTGACAGTTTTTTGGCTGAATAACCTGATATGATGTAAATTGTATTTGGCTATATCTTTTTTGATGAGTATGGCCAGGATTGTTTATATCTATTTCTATTCCCAAACAGTCTTTTCTTATGGCTATACTTTTACCCTGTCATCCATTACAGTGGTAAAAATTAAACTACAAAAGAACTCGATTTATGGTTGTCAATAAGAAGAATTTACATGCATGGCACTTTCTTTATATTAATGTGTCTGTTAGATTTTTTGGTAAGATCACAACATTCTTCTGTTTAGAACCCTGCAGCGGCTCTCCATTTAATCTAAAAGAAATGTCAGTATCCTTACAGTGGCCTACAGGCCCCTGTTTTAGCTGGCCACCCTAATTAATTTCTTCTCCTACCATTCTCTATCTCTGTCACTAGACTTCAGTAACACTGGCCTCCTTGCTGTTCCTCAGGTGGGCCTCCCCCACCTACTTCAAGTCTTAGTTCAAATGTGATCTTCTCAGGGAGGCTTAGACCATCCTATTTAATACTGCAACCTGCTTCCTTCCTACCCTCACTGTATTAGTTACCTATCACTATGCAATAATTACCCAAAGTTTAACATCTTAAAACAACAAACATTTATTATCTCTCAGAGTTTCTGAGGATTAGAAGTCTGGAAACCTTTAAAGTGAGTAACCATTCTGGATTAGGGTCTCTTATGGGTTGCAGGCAAGTTCTTAGTGAGGGATGGTCATCTTGAGGCTCAGTTAGGACAGGAAAATCCACTTTCAAGCTCACTCGAGTGGTTCTTGGCAGGCCTCATTTCCTCACTGCTTGCTAGCTGGAGGCTTCAGTTGCTTGCTACATGAGCTTTTTCCACAGGTCTGCTGACAGCCGGACTCAGAGAAAGTGATCAAGAGAGAGAATCCACCCAAGACAGAGGCTTCAAGCTTTCTGTAACTTAGTCTTGGAAGTGATACACAACCAGTTCTGCCACATTCTATTTGTTATAAGCACCTTTTGAAAGGGGTAATATCAAAAAAATTTATGAACATATCTTTCAAACTGCCACACTCATTCCAATCCCTCTTGCCCTACTCTATTCTATTGATCCTTTCCCCACAGCACTTAACACCTTCTAACACATTGGACAATTTGTTTATTTTTTATTTTCAGTCTTTCCTCAAGAGTCCAAGCTCAATGAAGGAAAGGATCTTTATTTAGTGTGTTGATGAGTACTAAAATGCCTTATCTGCAGTAGACATTAGTAAATATTTGTTGAGTAAATAGTGTGTTAGTCCTTTTAAACACAACAAGCAAATTCTTTATCTTCAAGAGATGTGTATGTGCCTCATTCATTTTCATTAAGCTATATATGTTTTTTAAAGATTTTATTTACTTACTTGAGAGAGAGAGAGAGAGCACAAGGGGAGAGCAGAGGGAGAGGGAGAAGCAAACTCACTGCTGAGCAGGGAGCCTGGCATGGGGCTCGATCCCAGGGCCCTGGGATCATGACCTGAGCTGAAGGAATGTGCCCAACTGACTGAGCCACCCAGGCACTCCATTAAACTATATTTTAATAAAATTTTCCCTAAAGAGGTAACTCTTTGAATACTGTTGACTAAGGACTAAGACTTGGATTAAAACACCCTACTGTATAATAAAGAAATAACATCACTGATAATTAAAGGCCACCAAGAGGTAATTAATGGTTCTTTAGAACAAAAGACTTCTTGCCCTTCTAGCCCAATCTCATCAGAAAATAAAAGGGACAGACTATACCTTTTTGAGGCCAGGTCTATAAAAGCACATTGAGATGGATTATTATATTCATATTTATATAAACTGTACAGATTATTGCATTCATATTTACATTTCTAGCTATATGGAAAATTGCAAATATTCGGTTGGAAGCAAAAGTATGTGCATTTATACATTTTTGTTTTGATAATCTGCTTAATTGCTTGACTTCTCTATTTCATGGTAGCATGCATGGTTTTGCTCTGCTGAGAGTGCTTTCTCCAGCATTTTAGCTCTTTCTCCAAATCTAGAATCTCACGTTCAGTAGTGCCCACTTCTGACCTATACTTACCCAAGGGAATTTCATTCATGGAAGGAATCCCAAGCCTTTCTTCTTTGGAGATAGCTCCCACTCTTCTTTAGGTAGGCAGTTTACCAAGGTGGGCTGTATTATGCTTCATTGGGTGGTTTGAATATTTCTTAAGTTCATTATCAGTTTACTTAATATAAATGAAAAAATTAGTTTACTTGAAGAATATCAAACAGAGTATTTGCTTTTAAATTTCAGTTGAAGATCTTTTAATTATGGGAATGATGAATAAAGGACTTTTCCTCATGCAATGTATTTTTGGTGCTTTTCTGTTGTAGAATATAATACATCTACTTTGGTATACAACAGGAGTTCATTCTTACTAACTTACTAACTTACCAACTTTATAAGTTAGTAAGAAATTGTAAGCAATTTCCTACTAACTTACTAACTAACTGAAAAGAATTACAGCAATATCACTAAAATTCACCACCTCAGAATTTATATCTTTGTAGTTTTTTTTTTTTTTTTTAAGTTGGTTATACTAGGGCATAATAACTTTGAAAACTGAGGTGGGCATTAAGGAAGGCACTTGATGTAATGAGCACTGGGTGTTATATACAACTGATGAATAACTACTCTACATCTGAAACTAATGATACACTGTATTTACTTAATTGAATTTGAATAAAATAAGATGAAAATTAAAGAAAAAAGGTTAGTTGAAAGATGCTTTCTATACAGGAGTAAAACAAAAACAAAAACAAAAACCCAAAAAGCAAAAATAAAAACAAAAGCAAAGTGAGAAGGGATAAAAGCCCCTTTCTTGCTTCTAGATTCTCTTAGGAATTATGCCCCAAATGGTGGTTCCTGTAGAACCATAAGCAGGTTTCTGTAGAACCAGAAAAAGGTTTCTGCTCTTTTATTTAAAATACTTTTATTTATTTTTGTATTTTTAAGATTGTATTTATTTGAGAGAGAGAGAGACAAGCGATAGCAAGATAGAGTAAGAGCAGAGGAGAGGGAGAAGCAGTCTTCCCACTGAGCAGGGAGCCAGAAGCAGGACTCGATCCCAGGACCTTGGGGTCGTAACCTGAGATGAAGACAGACACTTAACTGACTGAGCACTCAGGCGCCCCCTGTTCTTTTATTTAAGAACCAAAGTTAGGAGAAGGCACACAGTCCTTTTTGCTCTTGAAAAATAATAATAACCAAATTAATAATGGAGCACTTTCTTTGTGCCAGGAAGTCCTCTGAACTTTTTACATGGATTATCTTATTTAATCCTTGAAACAATTCTATAAGATAAAGACTGTTAATACTTTCATTTTAGGAGCTGAGGCAGAGGCGTTAAGAAACTTAACCCAGGGTCACCCAGATGCTAAGCAAATAAGTGGAAATGGAAACTCAGGAGTAGGCTTCAGAGACTGTGCTCCATTGAAGGACATTCTTTGAGTCAGCCCTCCTGCATGAGGTGAATAGGTGAATGCCAGGCCTCATTTTGTACATTATAATTTGATTGCTGTCATGAAAATTATTCCCAAGAAATAAAATGTTCTTTTTCCCAGTTATATCGCTGTTAAAATATTTTTACATTTCTAGTTCATAATGTATTTAAAGAATTTTGTGTTTTTTACATATCACATCTAAGATGTTCATTCATTTATTCCTCCCTCTATTTAATAATCATTGAATACCTCCTATGTACAAGGCACTGTTTCTAGGTTTTTATCTTTTGTGGTCAAATGCATATGTAGGTAACTAATTGTACCTCTACTATTTAAAAGAGACACTAAAGTACTTTTCTTTTATTATCAACCTAGGTATATTTTATTCCGACCATCTTTTTTTGTTTTACACATTCTCAAGAGTAGCCTTTTCCATGCATGTATGTTTCACTTTTAAGAGAGTGAAGCATTAATTCATACTAGAACCTTAATAAGATGACATATTAGGAAATGATAATCCAGTTAATCATAAAAGAATCTTTTGCCTTATTAAAATAGTTTGTAGCAGTTGTATATCTGGATATATCTGTGGTGAATGTTAAAATAGTGAGTTTATTGCCAGTCTTTAGTTTTTGTTGGAGCATATTGCTTTTCCAATAGAAATGTTTTCAGGTTTCTCAAGATAGTATTGGGCTTCTAAAACATAGGAAAGTTACCAATTATAGGAATGTTATATGTGCCAATTTGAATGGAACACATTTGCATAATTTCACTTATTTCTCTGGTTTTCTCATGGCAGAGGACTGGTGGGTTTTAGAAATCTAGATTCTGATCATGGGAGGCTATTTTCTCTGACTTTCTCCTTTTGTTTATAGCTCAAAAGAACAGTACCGGTCCATTAGACATAGAGGATACATACCAGCAAAAGGTATAGCTCTGTTTAGTAATAAACATGTTTATGGAATGAACCTGCTGCTTATTTTATAGATTATCAGAGTGGAAAGAAAGATGGTTGAAGCATTCATCAGGAACAGTGACTTCACCTTTGCTTTTAAGAAACTTTGGAATAATTATATGAGGATCAGAGGGTTCTGGGCTGTTAGTTCGTGAAGCAATTGAGTAAATATAGCTTATCTTGGCACACTGATGTATCAGTAGCCATTTCCTTTGTCCTCCTCTTCATGGAGCCATGAGGTTTATCAGCCATGTCGAATTTCCTCTGGCCTAAGCACAGTACAAGAGCCAAAGGTGTTGATCCATTCCTTCAAATTTATATGGTGGGCTGTTACTCTTCATCTGGTGCTTGGGTTGTGGTGAGTGAGAGGAAGCGGTCTCTCTGTTTTAATCTTCAGCCCACAATGATTTTTTCATGCAGATCAGTTTGGGAGGATGTCTGTCTTGTTTTTTTTCTTTCTTTCTTTCTTTCTTTTTTTTTTTTTTTTAATCTGAATCTATGGGGGTAGGCCCCAGGCATTTGTATATATTTTTTTAAAGATTTTATTTGTCAGAGAGAGAGACAGCGTGGGCGAGCACAGGCAGACAGAGCGGCAGGCAGAGGCAGAGGCTCCCGCCAAGCTAGGAGCCCGATGTGGGACTCGATCCCAGGACACTGGGATCATGACCTGAGCCAAAGGCAGCTGCTTAACCAACTGAGCCACCCAGGCGTCCTGTCTGTCTTGTTTTTAAGTCCCTACTTCTGCTGCCCTACCTATAGTCTGTCACAGATACTAGATGAAAGAACTTTCTTAATCTAGCTCTGTCTATACAACAATGAGAAGATGAGATTGTTTCTAAAGCATTCTTCTTTGATTTTGCTTAAAGCCCAGAAAAATTAAGTAGATTAAATTTTTTTATTATGCTTTCTAGGATACTGCTAAACACTGGCAAAAACAAATTAAAATATGAAGCAGAAAATACACATTATTATACATAATGAGTCTTAGTCTACTACATTTGTCTTTTTCTGTTAGTCTTCTTCTTTGAAATATCAGTTGTACATATCCCATCAGGCCCTGTGGTTAGATCAAATCATATAATTGAATGAAGTAATGGTTTGATTAATCAGCAATCCTGAATTAATTGAGTATAAAACTACAGCTGAAAATTAAAGCTAACTTTATGTTTTTTTCTTTAGAAACCAAAATTCTGTTCTAAAAATCTCATTGGGTTTGTTTGTGATGAAAATTCCAACAGACAGAAGTCAGAACTTGTAAAAGTTAATGAAGGAAACAAAGAGGGTTTATTTATAAATAAAGATGTATATGAACTTTACCAAAAAGATTGCAAAGACACAAAATTTGTTAACTCTAAGCATAAACAATCAACGCTTCACCAAATATACTCTACTACGGGACTCCGAAAGAAGAATCTTCAAAGTGTCAAAGGTCCTAACACAGATGTGTCTACTGATAAAGGAAGAAGAAACACACGACATAAAAGAACTCAAGTGGATGATGCAAAACAAGAAATATGCAGTCCAAGAAAGACAGTAGCTCTTTTTTCTTTCAGAAGAAGAAACAGATTGGTTACTGGTCAGCAAGATGATCTCCAAACCTTTGATGACCTTCCAGAAGAGTCACATAAACTTTTGAGCCCAGCTCTGTCAAGCGTGAAAAATGGATTAGGTAACACTATTGAGGCTTGTTCAATTCCCAAAGAGACACATGCCCAGGACCTGGATTTATCAGATAATCAAGAAATAAAATTCTTAGAATCCACTGACCAAGAGGAAGCTGCTCTTTTCTCAGAACTTGGCTTACAGAAAGAAATCAAGTTACCACTTGTTACTACAGATCAGCAGCCTCACTGTCACCTAGAACAACAGCACATTAGCCCTCATAAATCTCCTGAAAACAGTAACTCAGGTCAGAAAGGTGAGAGCCTTAAAAAGTGGGAATATTCTTTTGCATCCTTGATAAAGGAAAATTTTAATAATGATGATGATTGCTTTACCTCTGAGAAGACTGTAGCATGTGAAAGAGTGGTATGTTCTACAGGTTGCAAAAACCATTGTAACTATGATGAGAATATAATAACAAATACAGAAGAAATGGATTTTCAACAGTTTTTCCCTTCTGAAGACCATTTTTCACAGGCAAATGAGTTGAAAGCCTGCAGTCTAATACTTCTACAACAGGAAGCTGTTAATCTTTCTGATTCAGAAAAAACAATAGGTCCTGAACAACATGTTGCAAATTATGAACAATGCGCATGTGAAACTTCTTTTGATCACTCACATGGCAGTCCTGAGCATACTTTCCTAGCTTGTCCAAGAACATTTTCAACACAGGAAGCTTCAAAGTTGACTAGCCATGTGAAGCTATTCAAAAGGCCTCAAGATTTTAGCTCTAGACCACCAACTCCTTTAATGGATCAAACAGATATACCTATTGTGGGAAAGGTAAATGAAGAAGACCCTAAAAGGAATTACAGTGATGAAAGCCAGAAAAAAAGTTCTTCAAATGGGCCTTTATCCACAGTTGTTAATTCTCAAGTAATAGAAACAACTACAGTTGAAAAAAGGAAACAAGATCTTCCAGAGAGCAAAACCATACATGATACAGTTTTTTATTCCACTGACAATATCAGTAAGGAATTGACCAATATCTCACAACTTAGACAGAAAGAAGAAAAGGAAATTTCTCATAAACCAGGTATTGGTAGTATTGCTTGCTTTGTACACACATGTAAATTTACTTATTTTATAGAAATTTCTAACTGAATCCCACTGAACTAGCTGAACTGACAAGAATGAGGACATGTGGACTATATAATTTAGGGATACTGTTAGTTAAGTAATATTGTTGACTTTGAAAATCAAACTGTTATTATCAGAGATTGTTGCTAAATTGATATTGACAGAATAAGCAGTATTTCTATCAATTTTTATGTTTTATGTTTTTTAATCTATTTTTTATATTTTTCTTTTTAATATGGCACTTATTTAGTATCCGTTAACCTAACATTTCCATAGCAGGTAACTGTTAACTCTGTTGATTTCAGTGATTCATGGTATTCCCATCAGAATTGCATCCAGCAAACTTTGTTTATTATATAAAAACATTTTTTAAACATTTTATTTTTAAGTAATCTCTATACCCACCAGGGCTCTAACTCACAACTCCCAAGAAGGAGAATCGTACACTCTACCGACTGAGGCAGCAAGGTGCCCCCAAAATCATTTTAAAGGGTTTCATTTCCTTAAAAAATAAATAAATAAAAATAAAATAAAATAAAAAATCAGTCCAGCTAGGAATAGAAGCTTAGAAGAGTTATGAGGCCAGACTCTTTTCTAATCATGTAACCAGTAAGAAGAAGTGCAGCACTGAGGTTGCAAAATGTTTGTTTTTCAGATGAGGAATTAACTAATAATATCAATGGAGATGAAACCACTATGAGAAATGGTGGGGAAAAAGAAAAAACAGATTCTGAAATTTGCACATCTAATATCCAAGAACACAAAAAAGTTCAGAATTTCAGAAAAAGGCAAAATTTCTTGAAAGCTACCTGCAGTCAAGGTTTGTATTCCTATACCTGTATAGGTAAAAGTTGACATGATCACACCCAGCAGTGCACTGTACTTCAGGAACTTTCTAAACTCTCAGATTTACTGTTGGTTCTTCTCATTCACTAACATAAGATTATTTCAGCTTTTTTTTTTTTTTAGATTGTTTTATTATAAAGTACCACATGAGAATCCATTAGTCGTCAGTACATTCTTGTCATGTTTCTGCCTATGACTTCTAATTTTAAATGTTAGGGGAGGTAAGATAGACAGAGAGACAGCAAGAATTTTGAATGGGAGCAGTGCATCTGAATTATGCCGGATCCATTAGATATTTCCATTGAGCCCTTTCACCATAAAGCAAATTAAAGAATGGTCACTGGTTTCTTATTGTCAGATGAATGAACTGAGCATGTTTGGCAGTATGGACAAGTTAACCATCCTTTGACAGTTCTTGGAGCTAGTTCTGTGGTGAACAGTAGGCAAGATCAGGCCACTTCAGGTTAAATAGTAAACACTGAAAAGTTTATTTATCTATTGTCTGTTAAGAGGTAGGAAGGACACTGGATTAGGCATTCTCTGTGAACCTTCACCTGTTGTCCCCCTCTCATGTAATCTAAAGCCCTTCTTATACATCCCTCCTGTAGTGGGTTGAATAGTGGCCCTCCAGCACATGTCCATGTCTTACTTAATCCCTGGAACCTGTGATAATATCTTATATAAAAGAGTGAATTTTACCTAAATAGAAAAAGAATCTCTGCAGATGTAATTAAGGATCTTGAGTTTCCAGAGAGTAAAAAAAAAAAAAAAAAATCACATACAAAGTAACTGAAAGCTGAGTATGCCTTAGTAGCATTATACTTTATTAATAAATAATATTGATGCCAGTTATTAAATATTACCAATTAATATTTATTAATTTGTTAATGAAGTATGATGCTATTAAGAAGTATTCAGTGTTAACCACAGTGGACTTTATGAAGAAGTTTTTTGTGAAGTTAATGTGAGTTCTGTTCATTTCTTTTCCAGTTTTTTCCAGATTTTATTTTAAAATTTCAGTTATGTGCTGTAGAAATTTATGATGACAGTAAAATGGAACAGTTTTTGAGTTTTTGCCCCAAAATGTTTTTCATGTGCCTATATTCTTTGCTACAACACACCATGAGCTAGGTGAGAAGATTTGTACCATTCACATTAACAATTTTTGGAGAGATTTTTCCAAACTACAAGTCTACTTGCAAACTACAGGTCTGCTGTTTTGGATATTACATAATTTTAAAATATATTCTCTATAAATGTATATATAACATTATATATAATATGTCTTTATTCTTCAAATAAAGAATTTCTAAGTGCAAATTTGTAAGAGCAGTATGATTTTCTCTAGATGTCAGTGGCAGACATGAAGCTGTCAGTGTTCCCTGTGATTCACATAACCAAAGAATCCATCTTACAGAGAGTAATTCTCTGAACTTTATGTCTCTTGCCCTGAAACTATGTGCCTAGTTCCTAGCTTTAGGAAATAGAACAGGGAGCGCATCTTAAGGTTTAATGCAGTGGTTCTCAAACCATATTTTGCATCGGATTCACCTGGAAAGCTTGTTAAAACACAGATTGCTGGGCTCTGTTCCCAGAAAGTCTAATCATTAGGTATATTATCTATTAGTGTATTACACATTTATAAACTTGGCAGTTTAAAACAACACACATTTTTTATCTTATAGTTTCTGTAGATCAGGAATTGGACATGGCTTAGGTAGGTCTTCTGCTCAGGATGTTTCATAGACTACAGTCAAGGTATTGGCCAAGACTGGGGTCTCATCTGAAGGCCCAACCAGGGAAGGATCCATTTTCAAGCTCACGTGGTTATTGTCAGAACTCAGTTCCTTGAGGGTTGTAGCCAGTTTGTGGTCATCCTCCGTTTCTTCCTTCATGAGCTTCTCCAGTGTGTCCTCTTGGTTCTTCAAAACATGCAAGCTAAAGGTGATAGAGCAACTTTGCTAGCAAGACAGAAGATGTTACAGTTTCTTACAACCTAATCAAGGAAGTGAAATACCCTCAATATTGAGGCATTCTATTGGTTAGAAGCAAATTATTCAAGAGGAGTGGATAATACAGGGCCATAAATACCAGGAGATGGGGATCAGTAGGAGTTACCTTAAAATCTGTCCTCTGCAGTAGGCTTGTGGGGTGGGCTGGAGAATTAGCATTTCTAACAAGTTTCCCAGGTGATACTGATACTGCTAATCTGGGACTACATTTGAGGACTACTGGTTTAATGAATATTCTTTTCTATTTCATCACTGTAATCCTCTACTTTGCCTTCCTTGTGTCTCACTCTCAAGCTTCTCTGATGTAGTTTCTACAGAAAATAAATCTCCAGTTTCCTGGCTTGGGGATGGGGACCTTGGGTGAGAGGAATGGTTGCCAGACATTCAGGGTTAGGGAAGGGAACTAGTCCCAACATCTGTGCATATACTTTTAGTCAATCTCCATGTTTCTAGCCCAGTTCAACGCACACTGCCTTTCACCGTACTTGATGCCCCCAAGTGCTGGGTTCAGATGGGCTCTCTCCCTAATTCTTTTTGCAGGCATTTGGGTGAGGCATTTCCCCCACTTCACGAAGTTGGTTAACCCTTCTCCAGCAGTGATTTTCCAGTTGCCAAAAAGTTGTTGAAGTCTTTGTCCTCTATTTTGTCCTTTTCTATTTTCCTTTTATGGTATTAAAAAAAATATATTTTACTATCATTTTAGTACAGTTTGGGGAGGAAATTGAGGGGAAAACATAGTCAGGTTTTTTGTTAGTTTGGTTTTGATTTTTTTTAATCTCCGACTTAAGTCTCTGTAACTTGTGGTACAAGGAGAAGATTTTTTAAAAAATCTTTGGATAATGATGTTGTACTGCCTGCTCTTTTGAAAGAAAAAATAATCCATTGGGCCATGCTCTGGGTTTTGGTGTCTTTTGTGATCAGAAACACACTCACTGGGTTAGAGAAGAGTTATAGAAAGAGTAATTTTATAAAATTATAATTTGTTTTAAGAAAAATTTTTTCCATTGTTAAAGGACTACTGAGGGCAAAATGAGGGTAGAGCTGAAGGAGGTTTATTTGTTTTAATCAAGCTTATGATAGAGTGATTAAACAGCTGTTAGAATGAATACAAACTAATGTGCTTAGATGCTCTACATTCCTTCACAAGTTAGATTTTTAAACAGTAATAGCAATGATGATATTCATGTATGTTTTGTGTAGTGCACCCTACTTAGGATATTTTGAGGAAGTTGCAGTGTATTTTCTGAGCTTCTTTGTAATGATCAGCATTTGACAGAAAAGAAACCTCAGCTTTACTTGGCAAATTTACAGAAGTGAAAACAGTTGGGATCAATAAGAGGCATGCCAAAGGAGAAAGCCGGCTTCATTTGGCTGCCAGAAGAGGAAATTTGTCTCTGGTGAAGGCTCTAATAGAATCTGGAGCAGATGTGAATCTAAAAGATAATGCAGGTTTGGATTCTTGAAATTTTAATTGTGTTTATAACTTGAAATTACTGAAATATACATTTCATCCACCCTACCCCAGTTCTCATGCTGGCTGTTAACTTTGAACTGTCTTTTTAATAATATATTATTTAGTTGAGTAGTTAAATTTATCTTGGTTTTCACCCATTGCTAAAATAACCTCCTCTGAAACAGTTTTTAACATACATGTGGGAGCATTCAGAGGAAGTATACAGAATGGGGAGTAAAGAGAGCTTTATTTAGGTCTTTTTCTCAGAGATCTTAATACTAAACTGTCACTTTGGAGAGAGTGCCAGTTTTTTTCCCATTTCCCTATCCCTTCTCTTTCTCCTCTCTTTTTAATTATTTGTTGTTTCTCTCTTTCCTTATTTTTATTTTCAGCCTCCGTTTTTAAATTGATCTGACATTTTGCTCAAGCACAAAATAAACTTGTGTGAGGAGTTAACAGAGGGAAAAACTCAAAGATTGATTTCAAGAATACTATGTCATTTTAAAGAGATATATGACAATGCAGGGATACAAATGGGGAAGCAGACTTGATCTTACTCTATTTTAATATCTGAGTTGAGACAAATTGACATGATTAGTATTTACTCTAGTCCCTGTGAGTCTTCTGTTTTGGCACTTGGATCGATAAATATTTTTTATGAGATTGGTTTTCAAAATTGAAACATTTCGAGGCCATGGTTTTCAATATTATTTCTTGTCTGATACTTAATATATACATTTGAATCAACATAGATATCCATTGTATTAGGGCAAATAAAATTAATAATGAAGTTATTACATGAATGTTGATATATAGGCAGCAGCTTCTGTTTTTTTCTTTTTTCCTTTTTTAGGTTGGACACCACTTCATGAGGCATCTAGTGAGGGATCTAATGATATAATTGTAGAGTTGTTAAAAGCTGGTGCTAATGTTAATTGTGAAAATCTAGACGGGATTGATCCCTTACATGATGCTGCTTCCAGCAATCATTTAAAGGTACAGTGCACATCAGATTGGTTTCCTATTACTTTTTCTTAGAAAAATGAGTGAAGAAAATGAAGGTATTTTAAACTGAACACTAAAGTAATTCCTTAAAATAAATGATTTTTAAAACCTTCTTAAAATTTTAAATGAAGATAGGATGTTGTGTATGGACTGGAAAATCATATTAACTAATGAATTGTTTTTCCATTGTCTTTTCCTCATAAAATTCATGTAACTCAGAATAAAATGAAATGTCTCAGGGTAAATGTAGGCTATAAGTCTAATACATTCCATTTTTAATTGTATTAAATGATTTGCTCTTGTGTATAAAAGATCTAACTATAGTGATAATATATGTTGACAGATTTTTTTTTCTAACTCAGAATTTCTCCGTGGGTTTAAGTTTCAAAGAAATGGATAAAAATGCATGTTCCTGAGGGTTTGTTATATATTTTTCTCCTTTATTTTTCTTAATCAGACAGCTGTCACAAAAGAAAATTACACAAAAGAAAATTATTTCAGTAACACTGAATTTCAAAACTAAACCTTAAAATCATTAAGATTTTTAAACTCCTTTTTGACAAATCTGAGCAGAAGACTTTTATCAATAGACAATGCAGACTTTAGGAATAATCACTGGCTTTGAAAAAATAGTGAAGGAAACCAACACCAATAACAACAATATAAAACCAAAGTTCATATAAAAAATACCTTGAACCTCTCACTAACACCAATTTATCTGTCTCTAGATATTTTTAAGGCCCTGGTGATTTTTTGTTAATTTTATGAAAGCATATCCCCACTGTTTTCAGCCTAAAGGTAGTCATGTAAAGGAATAGTATTGAATTTATGATTTGCAGCAATAAGAGATTAAACTAATGATTAAGAGTAATATCAGAAAAGAGCACCTGGGTGGCTCAGTTGGTTAAGCATCCAACTCTTGATCTCAGTTCAGGTCTTGCTCTCAGGTTTGTGAGTTCAGGCTTCACATTGGGCTCCATCCTGGGCGCGGCACCTACTTAAAAATATATATATATAAATAATACCAGATGGGTGGACTAATGTCCAGAGTGGCTTCTTTTGACCAAAGAAGCTCTTTGGGCTTTATGATATTTAATTTAAAAAGAATAGATAAGGTCTGATCATAAAATGGAAGAAGGCAAACAGGAAGAGTCATTAATTAGCTTACTGGTTATGTGTACAGGGAAAAGGCCACTTAAAGTGAAACCACTTAAATAAGGGCCAAAATTCTATAGTAGGTAAATCACATTTTTAGACATTATCCTGAAAAATGCAATATAAAACAAAGAAAATAAGGAGGTCCATAATACCACCCGTAAATTTGGGAATTGAATGGAAGGATCTACAGAACTCAGCATACAGTTGTGCTCATAGCTAAGATTCTTTTTTCTTTCTTTTTCTGTTTTTTTTTTTTAGATTTTATTTATTTGAGAGAGCCTAAGTGGAGAGGCAGAGGGAGAGGGAGAAGCAGACTCCCTGCTGAGCAGGAGCCCATGCAGGGCTCCATCCAGAGACCCTGAGATCATGTCCTGAGCCAAAGGCAGATGCTTAACCAAATGAGCCACCCAAGCACCCCTCATGGCTAAGATTTGTTACAACAATGTAGTAAGGATATGCTGCTGACTCATTAGGAAAAACACAGGTGGAGTCTGGGGGTATTTAGTGAAGGCTTTATTATGCTCTCTTCCTCATGGGAGGTCACTCACAGCTTACCTTTCCCCCAGCAACAAAAATGTCATTTCTGTGTTTCCCCTCCAAGGAAGCTCATTAGAAACTCAGTTTCAAAGATTTATATTGGGACTGGTCATGTAAGCACTCTCTGCCTAGCACATACCAAGATTCCCGACTCCTAAGAGCACAAACCACATTGGTTGTGTAGAATGTTTAAGCAAAGAAAGTTACCATTATCAATAGGGAAAGTTTTCTACCAATGTAGGGTACTGTTTACCAGTCAGGTTCATTGATGTCAGCTAAAGGCCAGCCTTGCAAGCAGCCTCTCTAGATAGCAGACTCAGGCCTACTGTGTTAACTCTTTTCTAAGCAGTATTTTATTTAGGTTCTAATTGCTACATATGCTGATTTCTAAAACAGGAAAAAGAGTGAATAAAGTTTGCTTTCATGGCCTAATTTTTCTGGCAAAATTGTGTGACAGGATATACTTCATCTCATACTTGATTTTTCTGTACCCCTACCTCAGGAAGGTCTTTTTGCAAACATTTTGAGAGGTATAACAAGTTTTTACTAGGTCTTCTATCAGTCCTTTTATATTCAAATTCTTACGATATTTCTTTTTTTAGGTTAACAGTTTTACCTGTCAGTTTCTCATTCATCATGGCTTCACAGGTGCTTCAAGTATTTCTCCAACATTATTTTAATGTTTGACTTCAGGAAATTTTATATTTGTACCTTTGGACTTTGTAATCAATTTGTAGTGTGTTTACATTTTATTGTTAGCTGTTTACAACATAATTGACGAGTAATAAACTGAACAACAAAGCTCTTGACTTGATGGATAGGAAAGATTCTATGTTAGTAAGGAGGGAGGTTGTTTGGGTAACATTTTGTAAATGGTTTCCATGAGTGAGAATTTTCCTATTTTGAAGACTCTAGCTTCCTTTATAAAAATTTGGTAACTTGGGGCGCCTGGGTGGCTCAGTGGGTTAAAGCCTCTGCCTTTGGCTCAGGTCATGGTCTCAGGGTCCTGGGATGAAGCCCCACATCAGGCTCTCTGCTCAGCAGGGGGTCTGCTTCCCCCCCCCCCCACCCCAACCACCCTCTGCCTGCTTCTCTGCCTACTTGTGATCTCTGTCTGTCAAATAAATAAATAAAAGTCTTTAAAAAAAAAAAAAAAAGAAAAAGAAATTTGGTAACATGAAGGGACAGAGAAAATGATTCCTCAGATACAAAGGACCTTCTGTAAAAATAAATGTCAGGAGCTAAAATTAACCACAGAAGATGGGAGAGGGGAGCTTGGTTTAGTGGATAAAACACTGGACGAGGTATTAGAAAGCCCAAGTTCTAGGCCTAGTTCTGCTGCTTGAGAAAGATTATAAATATCTTTACCCCTGGAAAAGGAATGTGATTTAGAGCTGTGCTGCCCTGTACTGTAGCCATTAGCCACATGTGGCTATTTTAATGTAAATTATTTTAAATTAATTAAATTAAAAAATCAGTTCTTCAGTTGCATTAGCCATATTTGAAGTACTCAATAGCTACATGTATCATACCATATTGGAAGTGGCTATCACATTGGAAATGTAGATTAGAGTGCTTCCATTGTCACACAAAATTTTGTTGGACAGCCCTGGTCTAGAGCAGGGATTGCTAAATACTTCTTGTAAAGAGCTAGATAATAAAGTTTGGTTTTTCTGGACCACACAGTCTCTGCTGTAGCTACTCAACTATTGTAGTGAAAAAGCAGTCATAGACAATGTGTAAATGAGTAAGTATGGCTATGCTCCAATAAAACTTTATTTATAAAATCAGGCAACTAACTGGATTTGGCCCATGGGCAGAGTTTGTCATTGCATATCTAAAGGATCACTTAAGTCTCTTCACATAAGTGTTAGTATAGACGAAGTTTGCATGTAGAGTAGACTCTCACATCAATATTGCCTTTATTTTAAGGAGAAATGTTTTATTTGAAAAGAAGGAGGTAGTATGTTTAAGGATATTTTCATTCCTTTGACACTGATATATTGCCAGCATCTTTCCTTATATCTTCATTAATTCTCCTTCCATGTGAGAGTTCTTCTATCATTGGCTCATTTTATTTCTAATTTCCTCTCTTTTGTTTTTATTTGTTTATCTTGAGATAGAATATTGATAGATGAACTAGAAAGATTAAAAAGACAGCAGGAAAGGAGCGTAGGTAGCTCAGTGGGTTAAAGCCTCTGCCTTCAGCTTGGGTCATGATCCCAGGGTCCTGAGATTGAGCCCCACATCGGGCTCTGTGCTCCGTGGGGAACCTGCTTCCTTCTCTCTCTCTGCCTGCCTCTCTGCCTACTTGTGATCTCTGTCAAATAAATAAATAAAATCTTAAAAAAAAAAGATAGCAGGAAAAGTAAATATGTGGTATCATAGACCTAATCAATATCAATTCTATCATAGCCTATAAATTTAATTCTTATATATTTTTTTACTCTTGCATTACTGCATGGAAATTTATTCAATCACCTATTTTTCCAACTTTTAACTTCTTTTTTTTTTTTTAATTTTATTTTTTATAAACATATATTTTTATCCCCAGGGGTACAGGTCTGTGAATCACCAGGTTTACACACTTCACAGCACTCACCATAGCACATACCCTCCCCAGTGTCCATAACCCCACCCCCCTCTCCCAACCCCCCTCCCCCCATCAACCCTCAGTTTGTTTTGTGAGATTAAGAGTCACTTATGGTTTGTCTCCCTCCCAATCCCATCTTGTTTCATTTACTCTTCTCCTACCCCCTTAATCCCCCATGTTGCTTCTCCTCTCCCTCATATGAGGGAGATCATATGATAGTTGTCTTTCTCCGATTGACTTATTTCGCTAAGCATGTTACCCTCTAGTTCCAACCACGTCGTGGCAAATGGCAAGATTTCATTTCTTTTGATGGCTGCATAGTATTCCGTTGTATATATATACCACATCTTCTTTATCCATTTGTCTGTTGATGGACATCTAGGTTCTTTCCATAGTTTGGCTATTGTAGACATTGCTGCTATAAACATTCGGGTGCACGTGCCCCTTGGGATCACTATGTTTGTATCTTTAGGGTAAATCTCCAGCAGTGCAATTGCTGGGTCATAGGGTCATTCTATTTTCAACATTTTGAGGAACCTCCATGCTGTTTTCCAGAGTGGTTGCACCAGCTTGCATTCCCACCAACAGTGTAGGAGGTTTCCCCTTTCTCCGCATCCTCGCCAGCATCTGTCATTTCCTGACTTGCTAATTTTAGCCATTCTGACTGGTGTGAGGTGATATCTCATTGTGGTTTTGATTTGTA